GATTGGTTGTTTGGAAACCAATAGGAATTCAGCTCTTAAGAAAATAGACCCAAACACTTATACTTTCAAGGAAATGATGAGGCAGGGGGTTTTGAGAGGCGGTGAGTTCGAATCTGAGATCCATTTGTCTCGAAATCTGATTGGTTGTTTGGAAACCAATAGGAATTCATCTCTTAAGAAAATAGACCCAGACACTTATACATTCAAGGAAATGATGGGGCAGGGGAATTTTAGAGGCGATGAGTTTGAATCTGAGGTCCGGTTGCCTTGAAATCTGATTGGTTGCCCGAAAACCCATGAGAATTCAGCTGCTAAGAAACAAGCTAATCAAAATTGCGTTTTCAGGAGAAAAGTTAGGTAAGGGCTTCTAGAGGCAATGAGTTCGAATTAGAGATTCAAGCATTGAATGTGAGTCGGGTATGGAAGCGAGTATCTTCTTCTGTTTATATAAACAACAATGTTTGTCTGTCTGTTCTTTGTGCATTTGGCTTCGCTAATAACTAGCGGCATCAAACTTTCCATGACATACCCCTTAGTCTAGAGAAAAATTGAGACGAGATTGGCGCGACAGACAAGGAAAGGAAGATAATTGGGTGTAATTCCACGCAGATTGTGAAAATCGGAAATTCTCTAATCTCTATCTCTAATCTATTTTACTTACAACAATGACGTATGCATTTTTTCTTACGTACAAAGATGATGTCTTTGTTCTTTTTCATGACTCAGAAATATGACGTATTAACGATATCTATATATACTATTTATACAATTTTACTCAATAATCAGCTGTATTACATTCTTGAATACATATGACTTCATTTCTTTGTCATTCGTTGTGTATGATGCCATGTATAACATTCCTCCTCATCTATATATATAAAGAAGAATGTTTGTCTGTTTGTCTGTTCGCTATTCACTTGGACACGGTATGAGCAAATGCAATGAAATTTTGCAGGAAATACCCTTTCGCCCATGGGGAGGTCATAGGGTGGTTTTCGACCCAAAACTTTCACCTGAGGGGGGGATGTTTGCCCCCTCCTTTTATTGAATTACTACAATAAATGCCTTTTCTAGAGAGTCTGTGCGTGTGATTGTGTCTATCTATATACCATAAGGAAAAAATGTGCATATGAGTCTTTTTTTCTAGCTCAAAATAATGGCATATTCGTTCTTTTTCTTGACTCACAACGATGACGCATCAGTTCTTTTTCCTGACTCACAGTGGTGCCGGATTAGTGATAAAACTGTTTTTTAGTACAGATAGATTTTTTTAAACCTACTACTGTGTCAAGGATGTACTATTAAATTTCCCGGGCAACGCCGGGTACCTCCGCTAGTCTATATATATAAAGAAGAATGTTTGTCTGTTTGTTTGTTCTTCATGCATTTGGACACGGTACGAGCAAATGCTATGAAACTTTCCAGAAATGGTCTTTACACCTAGGAGAAGGTCGACATGTATTTTTTTCCGAAAAAAAAACGAATCCTACGCATGCTACAGGCAACCTAGAAAACTGACCTATAGGATTGCAGCATTCCAAAAAATTTAAATGATTGATAGCGAAGGCCGTCTGAGCGCTCATATACAACATTTCACATGTTCAATCTATCTATGCCAACCCTGTGCTTGCTACAGGCAATCTAGAAAACTGACCAATAGGATTACAGCATTCCAAAAAATTAAAATAATTGATAGCGAAGGCGGCCGAAGGCCGTCTGAGCGCTCAACTATATACATAAAGAAATGTGTTTGTGTTTATTTTACTTACAACAATGACGCATGCATTTTTTTCTGACGTTCAAAGATAACGTCTTTGTTCTTTTTCATCACTCAGAAATATGACGTATTAACGGTATCTATATATACTATTTATACATTTTTACTCAATAATCAGCTGTATTACATTCTTGAATACATATGACTTCATTTCTTTGTCATTCGTTGTGTATGATGCCATGTATAACATTCCTCCTCATATATATCATATTTTATATCGTCATTGGAATGATTACGTCATGCTAAATGATGATGATGATATAGAAATATGCTATTGTTTTGCATCTATATAAATAGGCATCTTTTTCTTTTGTTTTTCATTAATAAAACTAAACTCACTATAGTATTTCTTATTCTTCAACGCTTTTAATAAAATCAATATTCTATTCTATCACTGAACATAATTGTCCAAAAACGAGTAAGTGTCCAATATTCCATATAAAAATTATAAGCATCCAGGTTATCAAATATTTTTCGATCGTGATATCAACAGTAAATTCCAAAGGTAAGATTGCAAATTCATTCTCTTCGGAGCATTTTCTATTTTCTATATTTCTTATTTAGATAAAAATATTACGTGATGCCAGTAAAAAAAAGAGCCTCTTTGGGAAGAAGTACATCAGCTGCAAGAAGAATGGCAGCAACAAGAGCAGCTGAAGATTCTGAAGACACACGCATTCGACTTGATGGTCAACGTGCAAGACAAGCAGCTTCACGAGCAGCGGAAGATTCTGAAGACACACGTACTCGACTTGATGGTCAACGTGCAAGACAAGCAGCTTCAATAGCAGCTGAATCTCCAGAACGGAGACAAGGTCGACGGGAAGAAGATCGAGCCAGACATGCAGCTACAAGAGGAGCTGAGGATCCCATACAGAGACGGACTCGAAGTGAAGATCAGCGTAGACGACAAGCAGCCTCAAGAGCAGCGCAATGGACATTTATGGAAGGGGAAGCGTTTCGTTATGATCCAGCCAACAACTATGACAGCCATCCTCAACTTTATATTGGACAAATGAGTGCTGTTTGCCCATACTGTAATGCCCTCAAGTGGCATGCAGAAACACGAGGTATGTGCTGCTCTGGTGGTAAAGTAAAGTTACCTGAACTTCAGCCTCCTCCTGAACCACTGAAATCATTAATGTCAGGAACAACGCCTGAATCGAAGCATTTCTTGGATAACATTAGAAAATACAATTCCTGCTTTCAAATGACATCTTTTGGCACGTCAGAGAAAGTGGCTGACCCAGGCTTCATGCCTACTTTCAGAGTTCAGGGTCAAGTATATCATCGCGTAGGATCTCTGCTGCCGCCTTCGAATGAAGAACATAAATTTCTTCAAATTTACTTCATGGGCGACGATCGAAAAGAAGTACAACAACGTTGCAAAAACATGCCTGGCGTACGTCAAGACATTGTCGAGAAACTGCAGCAAATGGTTCATGAGCACCACATTTATGTTGATCTTTTCAAGACTGCCCTTCAAAGAATGCCGACAGATCAATACAAGGTGCTTATTCGAGCAGACATGAAACCTGTTGGAGAGCATGCACGTCATTTCAATGAGCCAGTGACAAATGAGGTGGCGGTTGTCATCGCTGGCAACGACTTTGAGAAACGAGATATTGTCTTGGAGAAGAAAAATGGTCAGTTACAGAGAGTATCTGAGACACACAGATCGTATGATGCCTTGCAATATCCTCTCATCTTTTGGAAAGGTGAGGATGGCTACCATTTTCTTATTGAACAGACTGATCCAACAACTGAAATGGCTGTCACTGGCAAAAAGGTGTCGGCTATGAGTTTTTATGCTTATAGAATTATGGTACGAAATGGTGCTGTCAATCATATCTTACAGTGCCGACAACTTTTCCATCAGTATGTGGTTGACATGTACGCTAAGATCGAAAGTGAAAGATTATCTTTTCTACGTTATAATCAAAAAAAGCTTAGAGTGGATGAATACATTCACCTGAAAGATGCTATAGCCAATGATGGACGAGCTGACAATCTTGGTCAATTAGTGATTCTACCAGCAACTTTCACTGGAAGTCCCCGGCACATGCATGAATATACACAAGACGCTATGACTTATGTAAGAAACCACGGAAGACCCGACCTCTTTATAACATTCACCTGCAATCCTAAGTGGCAAGAAATTCAAGCAGAATTAATGGAAGGTCAAGCTCCCTCTGATCGTCATGACCTATTAGCAAGAGTGTTCAGACAAAAGCTCATTAAATTGGTCAACATTATTACCAAAAGCCATGTATTTGGGCCAACAAGATGCTGGATGTATTCTATTGAATGGCAAAAGAGAGGACTACCACATGCCCATATTTTGATATGGCTGAAGAACAAAATTAAAGCAGATCAAATAGATAGCGTAATCAGCGCAGAATTACCTGATCCTGAACGAGATCCTCGACTATTTGAAATAATTATCAAGACTATGATTCACGGTCCATGTGGAAGTATCAATCCAAACTCTCCGTGTATGGAAAACAAAAAGTGTACAAAAAGATATCCAAAACAACTTTTGCATGATACAGAAACTGGTGATGATGGATATCCATCGTATAGAAGAAGAAGTTCAGAAGATGGTGGTATCAAAGCCAAAATCAAAATGAGAATTAATAACTCCATTCAAGAAATCGAAATTGACAATAAGTGGGTTGTGCCATATTGTCCACTACTCTCTCGGGTCTTTCAAGCCCACATTAATGTGGAATATTGCAACTCGGTAAAATCAATCAAATACATCTGCAAATATGTCAACAAGGGCAGTGATCAGGCAGTGTTTGGTTTGGGAGGAGATGGAGCACCAGTTGATGAAATTAGTAACTACCAGTTAGGTAGATACATCAGTAGCAATGAGGCAGTCTGGCGAATCTTGGATTTTCCAATTCACGAACGATATCCAACCGTTGTTCATTTGGCTGTTCATTTGGAAAATGGTCAACGCATTTATTTCACCGAAGATAATGTTCATGAGAAAGTTAATGAACCACCAAGAACAACACTAACAGCATTTTTCTTACTCTGCCAGAAAGACGACTTTGCCAAAACGCTGTTGTACTGTGATGTTCCAAAATACTACACATGGAACGCGTCTGAAAAAGTGTTTAAGCGGCGTGTTCAAGGAACTGCTGTGTTTGGTCATCCAGACATTAGAGAAGGAGATGCGTTGGGTCGTGTTTACACTGTGCATCCTAATAATTTCGAATGCTTTTTCCTACGACTCTTACTTCATGTGGTCAGAGGCCCTACTTCATTTGAAGCTCTTCGAACTGTAAACGGTCAGATCTGTGCAACATTTCGTGAAGCATGTCAATTACATGGATTACTGGAAGATGATCAGCAATGGGATGCCACCATGTCCGAAGCAGCTGCAGCTCAATCGCCAGCAAGATTAAGAAATCTATTTGCTCTTATACTAGCTGTTTGTGGACCATCCAATCCAAAACAATTATGGGAGTCGTACAAAGAAAGCTTGACTGAAGACATTCTGAGAAATGCTCGCAGGCGAAATCCTGGAATGAATTTGGATTATACACCAGATATGTTTAATCAAGCACTGATTATTATTGAAAATAAAGTTTTAGAGATGGGTGGCAAAGAACTTGAGAAATTAGAGCTCCCAACTCCTCAACGAAATTCGGGTGATCGATTAAACAGTGCAATGCTCAGAGAAACAAGTTATGATGTGAAAGAGTTGGATGCTTATATAACAGCAAATGAGCCACTGTTAGTGCCGGATCAGAGAGCTGCATACAATGCGATTTTGGATCAGATCGAGAAGAAAGCTGGTGGAATAATCTTCCTTGATGCACCTGGTGGAACAGGGAAGACATTTGTCATTAATTTGTTATTGGCTAAAATCCGGCATCAGTCAAAGATTGCGATTGCGGTCGCCTCTTCCGGTATCGCTGCTACGCTGCTGCACGGTGGTCGTACTGCGCACTCGACATTAAAGTTACCTCTTAAGTTTTTGGAAAATCAAACTCATCTCTGTAGTATTACCAAAGGAACTGGCGAAGTAAAGGTTCTGCAAGAATGTGAACTTATTGCATGGGATGAGTGCACAATGGCTCATAGGTATGCATTAGAAGCTTTGAACCATACTTTACAGGATCTTCGTAACAATGGAAAGAATATGGGTGGAGTAGTTGTACTTATTGCTGGCGATTTTAGGCAAACATTACCAGTTATTCCAAAGGGTACCATGGCTGATGAGCTTAAAGCTTGCTTGAAATCTTCGTATCTTTGGAGACATGTTGCATCATTAAAACTCAGTAGTAACATGAGAGTGCACTTACAAGGTGACGTATCTGCCGGCCGTTTCGCTGAACAACTTCTCGCAATTGGAAATGGCAAAATACCTGCTGACCCAGTCAGTGGACTTATTAATATTTCAGACAACTTTTGCAATATCGTTGAATCAGTCGAAGAACTCAAGAATAAAGTGTTTCCAAACATTCAAACTCAGTACAAGGATCACAAATGGTTATGTGAACGTGCCATTCTGGCTCCGAAAAACGTCAATGTAAATGCTATCAATCTACAAATACAGCAACAACTTCCTGGTGAAGCTATATCTTACAAATCAATTGATACAGTTAAAGATATCGACATGGTAGTTCAGTATCCAACTGAGTTTCTCAATTCACTCGAACCTTCTGGAATGCCACCACATAACTTGCGTCTGAAAATTGGATCATCTATTATGCTCCTAAGAAATCTGGATGCACCAAGATTATGTAATGGTACAAGGCTATGTGTCAAAACTCTAATGCCTCATGTAATCGAAGCAACGATCATGACAGGTTGTGCAAAAGGTGAAGATGTATTCATACCAAAAATACCTTTGCTCCCCTCTGATATACCATTCCAATTTACACGACTTCAGTTTCCAGTACGGCTTGCCTTCGCAATGTCTATTAATAAGGCTCAAGGACAATCACTTAAAGTTGCTGGTGTCAATTTAGAAACTCCTTGCTTTTCTCATGGTCAACTTTATGTGGCATGCTCGAGAGTAGGAACTGGAGAGAATTTATATGTTTTTGCTCCAGATGGAAAAACGAAGAACATCGTGTACAAAACAGCTTTACAATGAAAACTTCTATTTTGCTATTTTTTTGCTTGGAAGAAGTTCATCAATAAAAATATAAAAAGGAAAAAAGTCTATAACGGCTTTAATGTGTTAAATATTAAAATTAAAAAAGAAAATATTCGAGTGTAGCTTATGATATTGCAGATGAATAGCTGTTGAGGACTGTGGCAACATTGTATTATCATCCGTGAGATATATGCTATCGTATCATCTCCATACATCGGGTACCTCCGCTAGTACTTTATAAACCTTAGGATCTCTAAAACCAATTAGGTACAAGACTAGAATCACCAAATTCATTTTCATCTTCACTTTACAACGTATGTCACCAAAGAAATATACATGAATCTATTGATATTGGTTATTTCTGTCAAAACTCCACTCCAGTTCAATTAAATGCCCTGAGATTTTTGGGCAGTGGTAGAACTTGATTAAAGATTTATTTTTATAGGAATAATACAAATAAATACTTCTACTAAGTATTACTATTGATCACACAAATGAAATTTTACCTGTTATCCAGTAACAAAAGTACACGCGAAGAGTTTCTTCGATAATTTTCACTTGTCACCTAAGAGAACAGCTAGAAGAAATAGAAATCTTCTCATGAATGATAGAACTTTAATGCAAACACACCAAACTTCTAGGAGTATTTAGTTTAAACGCTAAAATTTACGTTCAAAAACAAAAACGGACAATTAAAGCCTACTGGAAACCAAATCATCAACTTCCTCGAAAAACAACAATATTTCATGCTTAGAAATTCGAAATATTGTGACAGTTGACTCTTAAACTAAATAGTCCTAGAAGTTTGGTGTATTTGTATTAAAATTCTATTATTCATGAGAAGATTTTTATTTCTTCCGGCTGTTCTCTTAGGTGACAAGTGAAAATTATCGAAGAAACTCTTCCCATGTATTTTTATTACTGGATAACAGGTAAAATTTCATTTGTGTGATTAATAGTAATATTTAATGGAAGTATTCATTTGCATTATCCATATGAAAATAAATTTTGTATCAAGTTCTAACACAGCTCAAAAAATCAGGCCATTTAATTGAACTGGAATGGAGCTATTTAAACTTTTTATCGTAGTGCTGCTACTTATGAGACACCCCTGCATAATAATTGGTGGGTTTAACTCACATCTGTCGAATGATACATGTTCCATTATTGCCACGAGTTGAAGAGCAAATTGACAAATGAAATATGAAATCGAAATATTCTATAAGTAGGTTCCGCGGATCCTACGTTGAGTAAAAAGATTACAGTTTCTAACAATTGATTTATCAATCGATAGAAGTAATCAGTACCAATAGATTCATGTATATTTCATCGTCGGCGCACATACTAAAGCCAAGAATGAATCTAAATGGAAGGTCTTAATCTTAAAATATCGTTTTTAGACCCCCCCCCCCCCCCTGTGCAGTATTACTATTTGCCATACATTATACACAATCGATAGGTATAATCGTGATCGGTTTAATGAGGCATCCTTCAACGCTATTTCATACTTGAAAGTGAATTGGCATACAAAATATTAAGCATTACCATTACTTCAATGGGTTTTAGAGTCCATACCTTGGAGAGAGGCGAAAGAATTGGAATAAAGTGTACATGAATTGATATAAGTAATAAATATCAATGAATTTATACATATTTTATCGTTGGCACACACCACAAAAGTGAATCGGAATTTGAAATATTAACTATTAGCGTTATTTGATTGAGTTTCACGAATCATTACATAGATAGATGGCAACGAAATAGAATAAATTATACATAAATCGATTGATTTATATTTCATCGTTAGCATGTATTACGAAATTACTTTTGAAACGAATTATGAGACTTTGATTTTCCTAAGCAGACAAGAATTAGAAAACATGCGTTTAAACGCACCAAATGGGAAATTTGTTGCCGTTTTCAAGCTTTGAAAGTGAAAGTTTTATGCTAAAAAACGAATATCTTGCGATTTTTAATAACTATAAATTAGTAACAATCGCAGTTCTCAATTGGTGCTTTTAAACACATGTGGGTGTGAGTGTGAGTATAAGTGTGGCTGTGGCCGTGGGGTGTGAGTGTAGACCTTATTCACTTGTACCTACACCTACACCTCACCCTGCATTCGCCTCCACCCACCCACACTCACATCCGCACCCTTTTTATAATGTTTTTTATCGGTTGTAAGTGTACCAGAATCAGTTTGTTCGTGTCCGATAGAATTCATCCACAGAGATATTTATGATTTCTCATAAGAAATATTCAAGCATAGAGATTAAATATTAAACAAAAGATAGTCATAGTGATTGAAAACATATCGTTTGGGTAGAATCTTTCACAACAATTATATCCAATCCTTTACGAACTGTATCTTTCGACTAAGGTTGGATCTATCTGAGATACTACCAATTAGATATTTATATCATTACAAAATTGAAGAGAATCAATGAGTTCTATACGTCAGTTTTAACAAGAACTAATGCAGAGTGAAAAAAGAATCATGCAAATCCCACGTTGTCAAATTACAAAGAATTGATGACCTTTAACCTTGTTAATATTAATAACAAATCTATAGTCCTGCATACTTCAATTAAGCTTCAAGAAATAAAGTGATACTATGTCTATTGAAAATAACTTCAATATCTGAATCAACAATTCACTAAAAAATAACTAGCTTATGGAAAAAAAGTCTTTTTATTCCAAGAAAGCGTGCTGAATCACTTCATCAAAATATCAAAGACTCATAGAATCCAATGAATTGGTATAGTAACATACTGTTAAATCCATAATTCTTTTTCAAAATTACCTGGTCGAGCTAAATTATTTGGCATCATTTACAAGCAATCAAAAAAATTGATCACTGAAAATATTTACTTCTATTGTTCCCATAATGAAAGAAATTGATATTTTGCATTGACACAAAACTAAACAATAAGAGCAAGGAAGAAATAAACTCTTTTTGGGCATAAATATGCCAATGTACAACATCGTAATGGATTTTTATAGTTTGGTAGTTCTTTGTTCATAATTGTCCATTAAAGAATAGGTATTACATATGCTCATATAACCATCTATTCCTGAGGCGTCACTAGATCATGTAACCCACTATCCAAGCCATATAGTACACTATTTGTGTGCGTACGCTGTATATGTGCGCATTGGTGCACAAGATGTCACCAATAACGTGCCAACATTATTATCTACGATTTCGCCATGCTGAGTACACACTACATTTCCGTCGTTCCATGAAAGAAGGTAGGGGTGTTGATTTTCTTTTTACTTACGCTCATATTCACACCTATCCTCTAGGTCATCGGATAATAGTTTGAGCGGTGAGGCTTCAATCAAATCCACTTTACTTTTAAAGATTAAAGTATCCGTTTTCAGAAATAGTTTTTAGAGTTTTATACAGCGATTTAACTATCATATAGTTTGATTGAGACTGAATCTATTTCAAAAATGTGTCTATGGCTTTGAAATATTTCTACAGTTTACAGTGTTAACATTAATAATGGTACACATTGGAGTCTCATGAAGGTCTTCTTTTTCTTCGTTATATCATATAACATCAGTGACAATGCTTGTTCTTTCGTTCTATACATATAGAGCTAACATATAGTCGACTATTTCGACATGTAGCAGACAAAAATGGATTTCTGACGGGAAAGCACACACTTGACCTTGTGTATAGTCACATTTAATACACTTGTCGATTGAAAGTATTAAATTGCATTTTTGTCCTCACTGTTGACATAAATTCATCAAGGACCGACCAAATTCTCAACATTGAGCTTCATAATGAAGATAATGTTGATGACATGCTTGCTGATACGAAAGCATTACCTTCACTGCAACAACCTGTCGATTTGGTCATTTGGTTTTATTCTTTTGATTATGGTCAAACAGAGAAGGATCTAGCTGGAATGATTTGCACAATCTATACACAACTCAATGAAGAGAGACATTTAATTAATATTATAGATAATGTTCGAGTAGGCAAAAACGCTTTTGAACAACGTAAATATGGCATAATAAAATATTTTAAAATCCTGTCGATAAAAATTATGTACCCAACGGTACCCAAATGATCGTGGATATAAATGTGGGTATGAGTGAGTGTAGACATCCTTGTGTCTCATACTTACATCTCAGACTCACATCCACACCCGACACAGATTTCCATAAGAATACAAACTCTCGATAGAACTTATATTTCCGGTACAGTGCGAAGTATTTGAGCGCAGCATTTACAGATATCAAAATGTGATGTACCAGAAAACACGACGATACATTGCTATTGATTTCTCGTGCTCCTTGTTCACCATTAAAATGAGTTAGTTCCAAAAAAGAGAAGAAACGAGTAAAAAAAATGTTAAAGATCGATTGAATATGAAAAAAAGAAAAAAGTGAGTTTATCTTGAGACACACTGATATTGAAATGCAAAAAAGCTCCGAAGATACTTCTTTCTTATCTTTAAGAATCTTATAAAATTGATATAGATAAAAGATCTGACAACAATCATCATTTGTTTTTTAGTAAGACCCAAGTGAGTGTCAAGATGAGCATCTACTACAAAAATTCTTATATTAATTCGAAAATTCCGTTGATCTTATTTCATATCTGATACAAACATAAAAATACTTGATTTTGGCAGTTTTTTTTTCTTGATGGTAATTCTTGACGTGTGAACTTCTTTCTTAGTATATCGAATCAATATGAAGTCTATCAAACTTTTCTTCAGTTCGTAACATTGATATCTTTGATACATTCGATAAAATGCTGATTATTTTCATTCTAAGCTACTAGTTTTCAGTGTCATTGAGAAAATAAGTAGTGACTGATGATTTAATACACAGGAGAAGCCGGATTCTTGCAATTTTGATACTAACTCTAAAACGAACCAGATTTTCATAGAACTTCGTGAAAAAGGATTGCAATAACAATGAATCTGAAGGATTTATTTGAATCATCGCAGCTAGAGTACGTACTACTATGTGTTGTTTTTTATTGAATGAAATAATTTTTCATCACATAACATAATGATCATCATATTCCTAATTAGAAAATATAGTTTTTTTTTCTATCCTAAAGAATTATAATTTATTTCAACACTTTTTTTTTTTAAGTATCACGATCATTTTCTTAAAAATCGACATGAAATCCGCTTCCTACTGGTTCATTGCTATAATGGTACTTATTCAGTGGTCGCATATTGATGGAATTATGTTTTCTGTCTCCATGTATGGCGCTTTTCCAAATGATAATATCGATGATACATTTGCAGTTCAGTCAGCCATTAATAATGCAATCGCTAATGGGCCAAATAATATCGTTGTGTTCCAATCTGGTACATATAATTTTACATCACCTATTTCAATATACAACGCAGTCAATTTAACTGTCATGGGTCAAGGAATGCAACAAACACTCTTAGTTGGAAACTCACCAGTAGCAATGCTCAAACCTTTAAATTGTCGAGGCGTGACAATTACTTCACTCACCATTGATTTCGATCCACTTCCTTTCACTGCTGGTTATGTAGTGAATGTTAGCACTAGTTATCTCGATGTTCAAGTAGTACCACCACACAGAGCTGATATTGATCGACAAGTTCGTGCCATTCTTCGATATAATCCAGTCATGATGAGACCAGCCTCGGGTTCGAATACATATGAAATCTATCAGACACCACCTTCAAATGTGTACACTAGTTTAGTATCAAATGGTATATTACGTATTCCTTTGGCTTCTCCTACAAAATTTGTCATAGGAGATCCTATTGTAGCTCGCTATTATTCTATCAAAAATGCTATTGATGCGCAGGATATAACAGATTTCAATATTCAATCGATAACGATTTACACCGCTTGGGCTGTAGGTATAATGACACTACGAATTAAGGGTATGAATATAATTGACTATCATGTCATACCACGTACTGGACGTTGGATGAGTACATCCGTAGATTGTATGCATATTGGTGATAGTCGTGATTACATAAATATAGTCAATAGTAAATGCGAAGCACAAGGTGATGATGGATTGAATGTACATGCATTTTATTTTACTGTAACAGAAATAATTAACTCAACCGCATTGGTTATCAAAGAGTTTAATTTTCCTGATGTACTTAATGTTGGAGTTGGTACACGTTTAGAATTCAGTCGAAGTCAACAACAGTTCACAGTCTATACAACAGCAATTGTAGCTTTTTCGTATATAAATGGTCCAAATACACGAGTATTTGTATTCACTAGTCCTATCAATGTGAGTGTTGGCGATTGGGCTTCGGTAGCTGATGCACCAGCATTAACTATCAGAAATTTTACTGTCGCAAACAATCGAGCACGCGGTGTCCTTGTAAAAACACGAAATGTTCACATAACACATTCCTTATTCAATGGAACAAGTGGGCCAGCAGTACTGTTTGAACCATCCTTGTATTGGCATGAAAGTGTTGCAGCACACAATGTGACTCTCGGCCAGAATATTTATATCAACTGTAATGAAGGCATTGCAAAAGAAAAAGGAGTGATTTCATTCGCACCAAATCCACGTCAATCGATTCCAATATTCACTGACATTGTTATTGAGTCATCAACGTTTCTATTTGGATCGTACAGTGAAGGTTTAATTCAAGGCAACAACGCAGGTAATGTATCCATCCGAGGGAATTACATAACTGTGAATAGTTCAATGTCGCTGATTTCGATTTGCAATAGTCGAAATATATCTGCTTACAACAATACCGTTGTTGTTAATAATCAGTTCACGGTGAATCCTTATTATTACGATACAACAAATCCATGTCAAGCGAATTTAAGCAACCTAATTGATTTGCTTCCATCCAGTTTTAATTCATCTTTTTCTCCGCCTGTGGTGATAACAATCTCAGGTGTTCAAGTCTCCGGTCATGAAAATTGTCCAGACTCGTTCAACTTTATGAATCTTTTCAATAATTTTTCACTATCAAATATGATCGGTTGAAATTTGAAAATAGAGTTTAACAGTCTTATGTAATTTTCCACATTTTTCAACTCCCGAAGCATATAGCAAAACTCAGCGATGACTTTTTGAAAATATTTATTATCCATTTTTGTAAGGTTAAGACAGATTGTCAGTGATTCTTTCGTGATATAGAACTCTGTTTTATAGGTTTTTCTTACCGAAGCATCTCGGAAATGCTAATTGTGGGTGTGGATGTGGGTGAATAAATGACACTATCTTCACAACACACCCATACCCACACCCACCCTGAACACACAAATTATTTCCGACACTTGTCCAACGAGTGATTGTTACGATAAAGACTGTTGGGGAACACTTGTTCAACATATATATATGTTTTTGAAATAGTATCATTTACTTAATAAAATTACGCATCAGAGGAAACTTAACTCATACTGGGTGCGTGATAAAGATTGCAGCATTTTATATTTTCCGAATATCTCACCATAGATAAATCATAGAATATTGAATTGTTTCAAAAGATGTGCCCGCAAATTTTCTATCAGAATGGTAATAAGAAGTGTCATTCAACTAATCTGGTCATAAGTAGCCTAATTTGAGTTCGAATATAAACGAACTTTTTACTGCTTCGTATCATTTTGAAAATAAATGCAAAGCTCAAACTATATCTTATAAATACCGTAGAAATAGATAGGAACAAATTTAGTTTGATTCATACATATTTATACACATCCTTGTATAAGTAGAAATAACTGATGGATCATATTGAATTATATTAAATGTCTGTACTTATTTTCGTTCACTTTACATTCGCAAAAAAATACTCATCTATGCATCAGTTGATGAAGAGTTTCAAGCTCTACAAAACCATATATATCTTATAAAGTTATATCCTTGAAAAAGAATGAAAAAGCATAAAAATGAAGACGTGTAAAATATTTCATTATTTAACTTCAGCTAGCAGAGGATGGTTTTAAGTCAAATCCAATTTTTCATATTTTAAACGATCATTTGTAGGTACGCAACGGTGACGAAGGATCGGTGGACCGATTAGGGAAGGGAGGTTACCGTTATCGGTCAGTTATGTTATTGAATAACTGGAAACGGAAAGTTTGATCAAAGGCTTTCAAGGTCAAGGAATCTCAATCTGAAGCCGGTTTTTCAAAATTGTGTACTATAAATTTTCATTATATACAATACCGGTAGTTTGTTTAAAAAGTCTGTATTGACTAAAAAAAGCTTGTTAGCGCAGCTCTTTTGGAGCTGAAATGTGGAACTCACATATATCCTTAAACCTTAATATTCTAATGCATCATATGTAAAATGAAAAATTTCGTATACACTATAGTTGTTTTCATTGATAAACAATGACAAGAGCGAGACTTTGTTATTTATTTCTACATTTAAAACAGAAGTTGTTTTTTGTTTGTCAGCGCCCTATTTTTATTTTGCTTTGTTACAATTCGCCGATTATCTTTCATTTTCTATTTTAAATCGTTTTTCGTAACTCAACATTCTTATTCTTATAATCATTGAATTAATTGACAAATAAATCTGTTTTGTATATCCATGATATCTACAGAAGATCTTACGCACTATTATATATATTAATCAGGTCACAAACAACTATCTGAATTACCGTTCAAAATTATAACTTGATCAATTTTTCAGAAAAACTAGAAAGTCTGACTCCTGTTATTCTTAATTGCTAAGGTCTGTAATGGGAAGGGGGAGGGGGAGCCGCGAAAACTTAACCTTAATACTTACACTCACTATTTTCTTCGATAATATATGTGAGTTTCACAAAATCAAGAATTTAATATAAATTCCTCAACAAATTTCAGAGTTTCATTTTTGCGATGAGGGACCAATATCACCAATCCCTCACTACTGACTTGGCATTTTATATCTCTAACGATCGGCGTACGATTTTAATATCACACTTAGAACCTATCGGATATGGGCCCGAAAACATTAAATCGAATGAGCCTTGATCGCAGTATTACTGTAGTATCGTAGCATATCTGGACTGATGGACGGTGAGCCATCGTCACCGTTCCATACCTAGTCATTTGAATTCTTTGCACAGTCTATAAAAAGAGCGCCAGCAATGGAGTTTTGATATTACTCTCGATTTTCTTATCATGACAACATCAATAAAAGCCACGAGAAAGTAGAGGCCTGCTCTTATGATGACATCGACAAATGATAAGAATTTTTCGACGATGGACAATCTTTTCGTCGCAAAAATGACGAAGCAAAACTCACGTATAAGTAGTGACAATGAATATCAACAGCATCTACCTTCAACAAACATTGACTCTATCTCAACAGTATATATTAGATAGGATACCTTTAAGTTGTGAAACAACGCATTTGACTTAGAACCATTCTCCGCTAACTGAAGTTAAACAGAAAAAATTGAATTACTCAGTCCAGTGTAAAGTTCATGGTTGTAAATATTGTGTTGAGAATAGTAGAGCACTTACCCAAGTACTTGGAATCTGTACATGCGCTAGGGATATCACTTAGACGTAGTCATACAACAGAGCTAGGAAAATAATCATTTTACTTGAGCAAAAGTTCTCTTAGTCTGTGATGACAATGTATATATATATATACTCTTCCTTGCTCTGCACTCACAAACCAAAAAACAACGAATGAATCTCACGATACTCGTCCTTCACAAACAAAAAAACATCCCACTCTCACATCGCATCACATATGACGACTCTATCAAACACCGAAGCAGAGAAAGAATAGAAGCATAAAAGAATGCATCATCTATATGATAACGAACCGACACACAATGAAAAAAACACAGAAGCGTAAAAGCACCGAAGAACCGAAAGAGAGAACGAGCCGAAACACATCATGGCTCACAGCTATGACATAGTTATAGCTTCATTTGACTTGAAGATTTTTTCACTAATTTGACTTGTCGGATGACTTGAAAATCGTTAACTTGACTAGTTTTGCTTCGCAAATTCTTCTTGTTTGGTCAATTAGCGAAAACTTTCCGAAAAAATTGTTTTTCATTTTCTAGCTCTTGACGAGTTCTACGAAATTACATATTTAGATTGACATAAAAGACTTCTTATTGATGCGGAGAGCCAAAATATGGAATCGACTATACGATTCAGGCGGACATTAGAAGGAATGTCCAGTGAAGATATTCATAAAACCCTCTGAAACATTCTAAGATACTCTACCAGAATCATTTTTTAAAAGTGAATAGGAATCTGATGTCAGTTTTTGGTTTTAACTTCATTGAAATGCCTTCAACTGGAGAGACATTATTATTCCTGTTTGACTCTATTTGGAGTGTGGTTCACCCTAACTTGGCCTTCGAGTTTCTTTCATTGACATTTGCATGTTAAAAGATATGTCTTGCTGAGACCTATGTTCGGCAAAAAATTCATTGTAGCATCTCATATTAAGAGGAAGAAAACATCAAAATAGAGCTATTTTGGACGTGTATTTGTTCCTATTTTTGGCAGTATCTGGTCTGTGGCGTTTCTACAGAGAATGCTTCCATTGATCAATTAGAACGGTTTTGTAGCCTAGGAATTTTGCTATCTTTTAAAGCTTCCCGTAGGGCGAATGATCGTCGTGCCTGAAATATTAGGTTGGCAACTAAGTCTTTGCGTTTTTTTCAAAAATTTTAATTTTATTTTTGAACTTCAAAAGTACAACTAGCTTTCAGTTATATATGTACCACTAGTATCTATGACTTGTCGCCAACGTTCTGGTAAAGACAGGATCCCGCGTTCGTAGAAGTCCTTGGATTTTTGATCAAAGAAGTTGGCGATATCCATTTTTAGGTCGTTCTCGTTGTCGAATTTTTTCTCAGCCAAATGATGAGAGAGAGAACGAAACAAATGGTAGTCCGTTGGAGCCAAGTCAGGAGAATAAGGTGGATGAGGAATGGTAATCCATCCGAGTTTCAATAATTTTTCACAGGTCGACTTTGCAACATGTGGTCTTGCATTATCATGCAAATAGTAAATTCGATCCTGCTTCCCCTTGAGTTTTTCGGCAATCCGATCCAATTTTTGACAGTATAGATCAGCAGTGATGGTGCAACCATTTGGTAGAACTTTCCAGTGAATAATCCCATTGACACCCCACCAAACGCTCAGCATCACCTTCTTAGGGTGTAGGTCAGCCTTAGGTGTTGCTACGCTTGTTTGACCAGGACTTAGCCATTGGCGTCTATGCGTGTAGTTAACATACAATACCCACTTCTCATCACCAGTGATAAGATTGTGTAGCCATTGATAGTTGCGGTGAGATGTGATTAAATCCATACATGCATCAACCCTGTATTGCAGCTGATATGGTGATAATTCATGGGGTATCCAAACTCCATATCTCCATGTTTTGCCTAATCCGTGCAAATGTTTTTCCACCGCAGTATGGGAGCACCCAAGCTGATCTGCTAAACACCGTGAAGTCAATCGAGGATCTTGTTCGATAAGCTGCTGTAAGAGGTCCACATCCACCTCCAGTGGTCTACCGGGTCGAGGTAAATCGTCGAGTTCTAAGTTACCATTCTTAAACCGATTGAACCAATGTTGTGCCATACGAATAGATAGTACATCCTCACCCATCGTGCTGCAAATGTTGTTGGCTGCTTCTGTTGCTTTATGACCCAGACGGAATTCATGAAGTAAAAGTATATGAATTTCTCTACGAGAAAGATTCATTTTCTGTTCGTGGTCAGCGTACATATCGATGACTTTATTATCGTTCGAAAGGTATTCACACTCCCTTTATATACCCTTAGTATGGAAACTTCTAGAACTTTCTCGAATGTTCTAGAACAATTTCAAAAAAACGCAAAGACTTAGTTGCCAACCTAATAGAATACCAAAATAGGGAACACGATTGTTTTTTAGTGCTAAAATGGATCCCACACCAGTGTCTTTGCCCGTACTCTTGATAAACAAAAAAAAATAGTCTAATATTTTGGATTTGAATATGGTTTGGCTAGATCTTTCGTTTGAGATATTTAAACCGAAAATCAAAAAAGCTTTTCGGCAGCCTATAAGAACGTTAGATGGATCCTGTTGCGAATTCTCTCTTAAATGTTATCTGATAACACTATACATTTTTTATTCGCCCTTGTATGATTGCTCTCTTATATAGGACGCAACCGTAAGCAAGATTCACTTGTCCGTTTTCTACAAAAATAAATATCAAAAACAATTGTTCATTAATTCTAAACAGTTTAAACATACTACAGTTGGATTCAATGAGTACGTTATCAGATCAAACGAATAATAATGGTTCAACAATAGCGAGTAACACTGTTCTACACGACAATGATTTGACCGACCAAGCCAAGAATCATTTTGGCTATTACAGTGATATATTACGTACGTTCGAATCACACCCTCAAAGTGTACTTTGTAATAAATATCTAACAGATGCTGATCGAAATTTTTTTCTATCTGATCTTCACACTTTATATACAAATTGCAAACATGTTCTGAATTATACAGCCGAACACAATGAATTTCGCGATTACAATTTACCATCAATTGGTCCATTAATGATTTGTGGCGTTGTACGTGCAGGTACAACATTACTCTATAATTTGCTTGCCTGCGATCCGAATTGTCGTGCACCATTGTACACTGATATGTACGTTGAAGTTGTCCCGCCGATCGCACGATCCGATTCAATTGGACAAAAACGACGAATCGATCTTCTAAATTCTTCTCAACAGAAAAGCGAACAGTATATCGACAAGTTGCTCATCATGCACAATTTCCAGTTGAAGAAGATCAGCATATCTTGCGTCAAGCTGGTTATCTTCCCCTGTTTGCTTGTATATCTCCCGATGAAGATTCCAATACTGAGAGTTGGATTCGTAATGAAATGAACAAAGATTATATATATGATTATCATGAAATATTCTTACGTATGTTAAATTCTGTTGATATGCCAAAATCCCATTGGTTATTAAAATCACCGTTCCACATTTTATATCTTGATAAAATTGTTCGCCAATATCCGAATGCATTATTAATTATGATACATCGACGTCTCGATGAAGTTCTTCCTTCAGTGTGTAGCTTGGCATTGTCAGGTGTGGACAGCAATGTTGATGAACCGAACTCGATCATTCGGGATAGAGTAATAAAACGATATTGTCAATTCATCGACAAAACAGTCGAATGTATAATGAAATTTCGAACTCAGCAAAACGGCGTACTTAATCAATCGCGAAAAAAATTTTCAATCTAAATTATGACAATTTGATGAAGGATCCGATCGACGTTGTCCATCAAATCTATGATTATTTCAATCTTTGTTAGTCGGATGAATTTGAAACAGCTATGCGCAATTGGCTTCTCGAAAATCCTCAAGGCAAACAAGGTCGTCATATGTACTCTTCTGATGAGTTTGGCCTCAGTCGAGAAGATATCCAAACACGTTATGCTGATTATATCAATCTGTTTCTGTCTTCTACATCTTCGAATAATCAACCTTCATCGGTAAATTGAACTTCATTATAATTGAAACAATATTTCGTATTAACTTTTATTCAAATTATTGTCACAAATAGTTTTATAAGTTGCATCAGTTGAGTCTGCAAATTGTGCTTTGAAGTTTTACTGCATTTATTTCAAAACGGAAGCAATTGAATCATTTCGGAACTTTAGAAGCTAGCGACTTGTGATCTTTATCGTTTGCAAGAAGATACTGGGCGACGTTGATTGATATTGGAAAGCATGAAATGATCAGGGACCAATGTTGATCAATTTTTAACGAAGATTTTGCAAAAATGATATATAATAGTTGGTTTTCATAGTCAAGTTTGAATTCAATGATGACTATTCGATAGAGAAAATAGTTTTCTTTCGATCTACACACAACCAAAATTGCTACCTTCTTCCATTCAGATGTGATAAGCATTTTTTGAGAACCTTGACATTGACCAAATGACCATCAATCACTCTAAAATAGGTCAAGTTAGAAGTAATCTTGAGGGTGAAGATGAGTTTAACTATATCTCTGATCGAAACCAACGATGTATAGTTAGTTGCGTATGGGTGTGGGATGTGGGTGTAGGTGTGGGGTGTGGATGTGGGTGTCAGTGATCATAAGATTGATATCCACACCCACACTCTTCCTTGTTTAGTTACTTTTGTTTGTTATTGTTTATTTCTCTTTGATCTGAATTCTTTTTCTTGATATATTTACTATAAACCAACAGTCATGTTGCATAAAATATTTTTTTTTTGATACGAAGATCTGAATATAATATGAAACCCCTTTGGACAGACTTAGAAAAAGGTAGATACTAGTAGTCAATGGAACAAGTGCACCATTTTTTATTCATCACCACTTCAGGATAAGGTTATCAACTGCATCTACAAACATTTTTGTTTCTTCATTCTCTCTTTACCTTAAGAAACTGATTACAGCTTGTGAAGAATCAATAGTAAGACTGTGCATAAGAAAGCAAATATAAAATATAACGTGTGCTACTACGAAGAATCATTTATTGCTGATAATTTTTTCGTCGTTCTGTTTTTCTCGAACGTTCTACATTAACATTTACATGTGAGATATCATCGTAGACTAACATAAGCTGATGTTGTTTTTACATATTTTATATCATTGAAATTTTATCATCAACTGCGTGTCTTGCAATAGAAACAACACAAATTTGGCGGCTAACAACCAAATCGATGACAGATTGGAGGCGTGCGTTCTCATTTAGTGGGCAGCTGTTTACGCAAAACCATTCGTACTTCGAGTATACGAGAATCAATTGGCCTCTGGCGAACATTAGACATAGGCGCGAAAAAATATTTTGAATTGTCGGACATCATTCAATCCTGTAACTTTGACTGCAGTGAGATTAAAAAAATTCTAGAAAAGGTCGTGACTATGAAGTGCCTGGACAAAGATATCATAGTGTATGGATCCCAAAAATTGATTTCTTCTAACCATTTTTGGAGTTTTTCTCTTTATTCTGAAAAACTAGTATCTGAAATTTATCATACAAAATCTCGTTTGATACTACGAAACTGAGTTTTAATCAATTTCAAGAAAATCTTAACTCAAGTCTCATATGTAATGGACTAATAAGTGAGAGCCTTTTGTTCTTTCGAATACCAACGTTTTGGGCTAGATGAACTTTTTGGTTTGGTCGTACGGGAGCCATAAGTAATCCACGTCAAACTCGAAGATCATTTTTCTAGTAATTTCTGCACAAAAACATCACTTGTTTGCTGTGTTATCTCTAATAAAAAGAAACTTCAAAAAAACAAACATGTAATTTATGTTTAATACTTCTTCAATTCCTCTTCCTAACGATGAGAATCACAATTCAATATCTTGTTTCCATCAAAAGTTACTCAAAAAATATCTACTCGTTTTCTTTCTTGGAATAAGTCGTGAATTTCTTTTTCATGAAAATCTTCTTACTGTTTCCCTTTCTAGTTTTTTAGATTTCTGTAATGGTTCTTCAATTATATCTTGATTGGTTATCCGAACCTTGTCGTGCCGTGGCTATTTTACTGTTGGAGAACAACATTGAACATCAAGTTCATGAACTGAGTGTTATTAAAGGAGAAACGCACAGTGATGCTTACAAACAGATTAATCCGGTTGGAAAAGTTCCAGCACTTGTTGATGATGGTTTCAACTTGAGCGAGTCTCATACAATTATGCGTTATTTATGTGTAAGCAGAAATTTTCCCGATCATTATTATCCAAATGATATTAAACAACGTGCTAGAGTCGATTCTTGGTTGGACTGGCATCATACGAATTTACGTCAAGGAGCAATTCGGTTAATAAAAGCAAATATATATGGTCCTATTAAAAACCTTTCACAAGTAACAATTGATGAATCACGAAAAGAAGGTGATAATATATTAAAATCAAGTTTAAGCTTCATGGAAGAAACCCTCAGTAAAAATAATTACATTGCTGGTGGAGATCAATTTTCAATCGCTGATATCGCATTAGCATGTGAAGTGGCAATGTTGCCAGTTTTTGGAGGTTCATCTGAAGGTTATCCCAACGTTCAAGCTTGGTTAAAAAGACTTTCAACAGAAATCAAAACCTGGGATCAAGCTAATGCGAAATTAAATCAATACCTTGCTTCGAAGAAGAAATAAGCCAACTAAAACTTATGATCCAGATCATCCTCTAAAACACTATAAACATTATTCTCCTCTCTTACTCTTATGATTCGTTTTTTTTCTCGTTCCAATGCTAGAGAAATAAAGATAGAAAATATTCATCAAGTTTGCCTGATTGATTGAAATAAATAAATGAAAAACAAATCACATTCGTCCGATGGACACGTTGACTCTTTTCTAAACGAATACTTCCGCTATCAAGTTTGTTACATTTGGAACAATTTTACGTCTCTAATTGCGTGAAAATCAGGGCTGCCAAATCTCCTGATTTTTAGACCTTTCTCCTAGTGAAAAAACCTCCTGATACCAGGAGCTGATTTTAATATTTTCTCCTGGTTTCTCCTGATTTTGTAATTTTTGTCACCTTGAATTTTAGTGACGTTTTCATTCAAAAATTTGAATCATTGAGATAAGAAAACAGAAGAAAAACAGAACTATCACACTAATTGATAGATACAGTAAGAAAATGCTTTGTTTCCTATTAGTTTTTTTATAATTAAAACTATCCCTTATATAAAAAAAGTTATTTACCAATGTTATATATGTACCAGTTCTTTTTCTTTCTGTCCAAATGTTATGCATATGTTATTGTCAACATATGGAAACAGCTGAACACAAAAGGAAAGAAAAGAACAATCACTTAATGTTCTTTTCTTTTCTTTTGTGTTCAGCTGTTATACATATGTTCTTGTTCGTCTGACCTTCTTTTTAACCGACGTCTGTTCCGAATAAGAAGAATCATTGTTTTAATTCTTCTTATTGTTCATTATTTAAAAAGGCAATTATCGACTTCGTTGTCTCTCGTTACTTTATCTCCCCTTGTATAAATACTCTCTATTTTTCTAATGAAAAGAAGTGAAGTGTCATTCATCTATCAAAAATTCAAATATCGTAAATAAAAAGAAAAAATCTATCGTGTATTATCGAATGTTTTCGACACAAGAAGACGAAATTATTGATGTATCAAATACATTAGAAGAAGATCGTTTACCTGAATCTTCACCACAATCAGTAAAAGATACTGATTCTGTTTCGTTGAAAAATAATTCAAAACTTACAACTACTTCGTCATCATCATCTATCAATGCAAATAAACGTTACATATCGAAATTTAAAAAAGAATGGTTATCGAATCCAAGATATTCATCATTTTTAAAAGAATGCAAAACTGATCAAACAAAAGCATTATGTATTATTTGTAATATACAATTCTCAATCCAAAATAGTGGTATAGG